CCCCAACTTAACTTTTTATTGCAGATTTGTGGTCCTCTAGGGTAGCGCAGCACAACCCCGCCTTCAAAAAAAAAAAAAAAATTCCTTGCTGTGTTTTTGCGAATCCCGGATTCACCGGGCGGACCCCCCTGGGCCCAACCGGCCGGGGCCCGCCCGGCCGGGCATGCCCGGCCAGGCGGCGGCCCAGCCTAGGTTATCATTAGTTTCTTTTTTTTTTCGGTCCTTCGACTTTCTTGGGACTTGTATTTTTTTCCGGTTTGCCTGTTTCCGTCGGTGCTACTTGTTTCTCAGCTCGCTGTCTTTGCCTAGTCCTACCGTGTTTTTGTGCCCGCCCGCCTCCTCCGTGCCCTCCAGTCTATGTGTTTTGTTGTTGCGTGTCGTTTATGTGCCTCGTACGTCTTCTCAGTGTGCATTACCTCCTGTTTGTTCTTCCCTGCCTCCTCCCCCTGTGCTAGTCTGTTTGGCTTCAACAGTAGGGCATTCAACTTCTCTTTGTTTGCTTGTTTTGGCCATGCCATATGAAGTGGACGATTTATTTCCTGGTGTGTTGCTTGATGTGCTTTTTCTGCGCAGCACGCCACGTCTGTTCACGTGGGGTTTTCGTATCATAGTACACACACACACACACACACACACACACACACACACACACACACACACAATCAGTTCTTATGTCTGTCTGTTTTCCTCTTGTTTTCTGTCCCCCCTCTGATTTTTTCCAAGTATTTTTGCTTACCCAACTAAGCACCCTTAAGTAGTGCCAAACAGTCGGTGGTTCCTCGTTTGGAGTGCCTACTGCACTCTTAGGGGGGCCGCTCGGTTCAGGATGTATGTGTTGCCTGTGAGTGATGACGGATGCTCGTCGGAGTGTCTTCCTGGCAGTGCGTGGTGGGAACCAACAGTCTGCGGGGTTCAATCGTGATGTGAGTAGGTCATGTGCCGCTTTGCTCCGTGTTGGATGTGTGGACAGCCTCGTCTGCGCTCCGCCGCTGCCCTGCTGCCTGTCCCGCTTGCTTCGCATGTGGTTCTTTGCAGGTTGATGTGTTCGCTGTGCGGTGTGGCCGTGTTGTTGGTGTTGCCTTGCGCTTCGCTGCTCCGCTGCCGTGCTGCTCATCCGCTTGGGGACAGTCTGACTTCAACAAGGGTCGGAGATTCCGGAGATTGTCGAGGGTTCAGCCTTCTGATGAGTCGGTGCAACTCCGACGGAGCAATCTATCAGCAGTTTTTTATTTTTTCAGTCTTTGCTTTTTTTATACTAGTATTTTTTTCGGTTGCTGCTTTTGCCTTGTCGTTATTTGACTTCTTGCCGTTCCCTTACTGCCTTATGTTGTTTGCCTGCCCATCTGCCTACCCCATGCCTTTCACCCGGTGCGCTCTGTTGCCTTGTGCTGTTCGCCTGCCCACCCGCCTCCCCCCGTGCGTGCCCTCCAGCCTGTGTGCCTTGCTGCCTCATGCTGTTTGTCTTGCTGCGTGTTGTTTTGCTTTCCGTCGAGTCTATGGCTTATAGAAAACGTTTCGTTTACAAGGGAACCGATAAGAGAGAATTGTGTATTGTTGTTGGGTCCTTGGACTGCGTCCCTGATGAGTCAATGGCACGGAGTACACGTCAGGTGTACTGAAGCATCATTCGCTGTGCTTTTGCACACACTCCTACACACACACACACACACACACACACACACACACACACACACACACACACATGCACAGAGGAAAAGTACGTACGGTCATAAAATACTAAGAAAATAGGAACAGGGTTACGTGAACCTGCAGGAACCCCCAACAAAGAAAGTCTTTATTAGGCACCCTGCCTGGCGAAGAAAACACATACCGAGGACATGTGAAAGGAGCCCCTAAAAAGGGGCATTCCACCTTTTAAAGCAACACAAGTGTCCCCTTGCAGGGTTTGACTGTCGTGTTGACTTTCTTGTTCGCTGACTTTTGTGTTGACTGACTGCCTTTCACGTTCACCACCTGACTTGTACGTTGACTGATGGACTTCCACGTTGACTAACTTCCGCATTGACCGACTTCCATGTTGACTTACGTGTTGCCTTTTGATTTGACTATTTATAACAAGAGGAAAAAATATATCATGTTGACTGTCACGTTGGCATTTAAAAAGGGATGAGGGACCTTCTGAGAGCACACACCTCCCCCTTGCAGTCGCTCCTCTATCTCCAGCAACTGCTCAATGGCAGTGTTTACAGTCATGAACCTTGGTGGCTCGTAGATCAGCTTGCCCCTGCATGCAAAATTGCAAATCCATTAGAAAATCCCAAGACATTCCAATGATTCCAGAGTCTGGTTTTTTTTTCCCCTTCTAATTATTATTAATTTATTATTATTTATTTATTAAAATTCATTTATAATTATTTGAAATTCTACACTCTCAACACTCCAAAGCATGCTTGTTATTTTTTGAATTTTTTTCCTTTGCTTTGTTTTTCACACAAAATTTTGAAACTTGAAATGTGAAAGTGAAATTCTATTCATAAATAATATTTCATCTATATTCCAATAGTTCCATCCACTGCCACACTATAGTCCAATAGTCCTACCTATCCCCAGCAAAATGGATCCAGACGGCACTTCAGGAAGTGAAACACACTAGAAGGCTAGGGTTCACACTGGCGGCCGAGGAAGTGAACAACACTAGAAGGCTACCCTCTTCCCTGGACAAGAGTGTATGGTCATATTATACCTGTATTTGGAGCAATTTTCGGTCTAGATTCTGGAATCTAGATAGTAGATACAGCAATAATGACTTCCATATGCTAATCTATCTTCTCTGTATCGTTCCAATCCTTTTAACCGATGTCCCGAAGGAGAGAGACACAGATTAAACTTCATCAAAGAGCAAAGATCAAAGATTTAGAGATTAAAATGAAAATTAATATTTAAATATTAAATATTTAGAGATTAAAAATTTCAGAAGACATGAGCCACTACCTATGAAGCAGATCGTCTTGTTGCCAAAAAATGAAGCCACTCTGCTCAATCTGCTGCCAAATGTGGTGGTAGTGACAAATAAAAGGGATGTTCCTGGACGCATCTCTACGTAATTGCGGCCAGATTCAGACAAAGATGTCCTTGTGCAAGTATGCCCTGAAATTTCCTTAACACTTAAAACTTGAAAGTGTTGAGGATTGAAAAAAAAAAAAAAAAAGGAGAAGTGTTGACACTGTTGAGGATAGCAGGGTGGCGCAAGCGCTGAGGCCACAACAACAACTCACCAGCAAGAGGTGCAAGTATGTCTCAGACACTCCGGCGACTACGAAACACCCGCGGACGCGTCCGCGAGGTCGAGCTCGGATCGCGGACCCAAATGGGTCCGCATCCGCGGCCTTCCTCGTCCGCACCGCGGACGCGATTTTACACGAATTTTCCTGAATTAGATAATAGGTAAAAAAAAAAAAAACAATTATGGAGTTGTAGGGAATTTTAGGCCCTACAACCCCATATATATATTTTTTAAATCCGACTTTGTTTAGGATTTTTAAAAAATCAAAAACGAAATTGGATTTAAAGAAAATTAAAAAATATATATATAAAGAAAAGCAGGAATTTTTTTTGGTCAATGTTTATCATGAGATACATGGTCCGTGAGTTTACCTGTATTTTTTTAGAAATGAATTTATGTTTTTTGCAGAAGTATGAGGTGTTTTGAAAAAATGCAGATG